GTAACCTTTAAAAGCATGTGAATGGTCATTTATGCTCAAGGTTAAAAGTTTAAAGCTGGGGCTAACGCAGACTGGCTTGAGTTGCAGAAGGTCCTTCTTGTCATGAGGAGCGCTGATCAATCCAGTTGATGTTTTGTGCAGCTCGTAAAACGTCTTGCACAATCATATAAGAATCTAATGCCTATTTCAAGATGGTATCAGGAACGTAAGACAAATTAAAGAAGAATAAAAAACTACTAGAATTTTGTAGACGTTAAAAGATTTCAAGGAAAACAATCATAATTTTAGGAATGCTGCCATGCCAGCTACTGGTCTGTTGTAATGTAGAATTTTAGTTGATGCTACATCCGAAGAGCTCACGAAATAAGCTGTAAGTTAGGTGGCTTTAGCGCAAGCCATACATGAAGCAGCCCTCCAAAAGAACAACACAAATCATGCCTTAAAAATAAGCAGAAAATAACGGCTGAAGCAACTGTATATAAGCAATCCCAAGATTCATGACTGCAGGATTTATGCAGCAGATTGCGATCTTAAAATGTAAGCAGCCTTTGAAGGTCGTGATCAGTTTTTCCACCCCTTAATAGAGGATTATGCGACAATAAATCTCTTGATCATTTAGCCAGGAGAAATAAATTTTTTGCGAGAGAGAGGGACTCAAATGGAGGCAAGAGAAATAATGACATCCTATATGTTTTGGAAACCAATGAACCAGCACAATTACTGCAGTTCATTGAGCTTTCAGCAGCAGGTTTCGTCAAGCACCCAAAGACAATGCCCAAAAGTTTGCAAAGAGAGCAATCAAACTGCATGCAAGATCTAAAACTTGAAGTGATGGATTTCGGTTGCTAGCTCAGAAAAAATACAAAGGATTCATAGAGGTAGACACAATACAACATATTAGGTAGCATCATTATGCTTTAAAAATGAATCTTTGGAACGTAGGCACACTGTTGCGCATAAATCTCTTAATCAAAAGCGAAAGCACATGGTTGTTCTCTGCAGCACAGCTAAAGGTGATTATTTTCCGTCAATATATTTTGAACAGTAACTTCCTTTTGTATCAAGGCCAAAGCTGGCGGGTTCATAAAATCGTCCGTATCTTTCATGGAAAAATCCTCCTCCACCTTGGATAACTGTCTGCCTGGACTATAATGATCTCTTGACAGTCTGCTTGGACTCGGAGAGCGCTTAGCCCCAAGCCCCAACAGTCTATGACTGTTATGAAATGAAGTTGGGCTAGACATGAACTGAACTACTCCATCTTCACGGGGCAAGGAGGGAAGTGTGGGCTGGTTACTCTCATTCGTTTGTTTCCTGCAAAACTTATCCTCGACAATATCATAGAAGTCAGCTGTGCGAACTTCTTGGGCAAGGGAGCACCAACAACAAAAAAGCCACTGTGCGCAGTCTGCAATGGTTGGTTTTCCAATAAATATGCTACTTGCTGGCAAATTGAATCTCTTTCTCATTTGGATCCTCCAGAAGCCACCATAGAGTAGACCAAACAAGCAGAGTGCGATACCAGTTAATCCAAGAGCCACCCTGACAGTCTCATTGTCAATGTTGATGGCAGCCAAGTTGAAAATCCAAAATGGAGCTGTGCAGAAGAGGAGAAAAGTGGCAATGTGAACATACATGTTTCCAAATCCAAGTCTTTCCATATTCCACCCAAAAACACAAAAACTGCAGAAAAGAGAAAGGTAAGCTGTACGGATGTTGTCCCGAAAGTCAAACAATCCCCCTCTCCACTCGGGTGCATACTCAACTATTCTCTGTTCATCTTTTGATACAAATGAGAATCTTTTCTCCAGTGACATGCGGGGGTTAAGATGGCTAGCGCTATTTGTGAGAGTTTGATTCTGGGCTTCCGCATCAAATTCACAGTCATACTCCTTACCAAGGGGGCTGATGATGGTGTACAAACCTGCCATCGCTGGAGCAGCAATGGCAACAGAAAGGCAGATACCAACACCTATAGCAGGTCGTTCAGATCTATTATATTCCAAATTAAGACTACATAAAGCATACTGAGCAAAGCAATTCAAATGGAGTAACATAACCACTACCATCATGTGAGCCCATTCATGAGGTTTATATGTGCCATTTTTGCAGTATATTTTTCTGAGTTTGGTTATGTCCTTCGACCTCCACCTACATAGAAGTACAAGGTGGTAGAATCGCTTTGGGTGTTGGTACAAACACATGAGAGTAAACAGAGCATTGAGGATTTGATTATTGACTTCAAACCATGCATCTCTCTGTGATTTCTTTGGTAAGGCAGCGTCCAACATTCCTGTCATTACAAGAAAAAGGATCGCTCCTGAGACTGCGACACAACTTATCCATAAAAAAAGCACCATGTTAAAGGGATTCTTGATCCAATTTCCGCAGATGCTCCATAAAGATTCCCAGTCAATTTTCTGCATTGTAAATCTGTTAAAATGTTCTCGATAACCTTGGCTAGTGGAAGAAGGTACAGAACGTGAAATTTCATCTCTTTCCTCTGCCATCTGCTTGAATTTAGTTGATGGAGAAGATAAACCACCACTGGAACTAAATTTCAGTATGTTTAGCCTCCCCGGAATAGCTTTGAATGCATTTTGTTTCCCCACGCTCAGTTTGTCATCACTCAGAAGTCCCTTGCGTGAAGTTGAAACATCAAGGGCAGCATACTTATCATTACTAGCCTTAGGATCATTTTCGGTCTGATTTGTCGGCAGCTCTCCCTTAAATTCTGCCAGGCCTCCTCCACTACTATTTAAAACCATTTTACCAGAAAGCTAGACCCTTCTTGAATTTCTCAGGATCTGATATCTTTGAATCCACAAGCCTACAAATGGATGTTGTTTACACCACGATGCCAAATGCCACAGACCACAAATGGATGCTGTTTACACCACTATGCCAAATGCCACAGACCAGAATGCTAAACCAGGCTAAACCTCATCATCTTCACAATTTTCATCACAAAAAAATTCAAAACCCATATCATGTTGGCGCTGCAAGAGTACCATCAAAACCTATTCAAAACTACACAATAAAGGGCCAATCAGATTCCAAACCAGGCCAATAGCAATAAATATCTTGTCTAATATCACAGTAAAACTATATCACTTCTACTCAAGAAGCAGAATTATAACCTTCTAATCAAATCTAAAGAAAATGAATGAGATGGGAATTTCCCATAAGTAATTGAACTAATTGAGCGTGAGACCCAAATGAATCGAAAGACTCTTAAGACACTATAGAAATCGAAAATCCGAGCCTGTCCAAAAAATTTCAGCTTCTAAAATGACTACAATGACACAGAGTTGAATTGCTTACCAATAAAGAACTCACTTAACAAATAAACACAGGGAGGTTATTTTTAACATCAGTGATTACAAAACAAGACTTTTCTAATCCAATACCTGTAATCATTATCAAAACCCATGGAGAGAGAGTTAACTGATTTAGCACATCAGCAATCAGTTTCTACGTTAGTTTCAAAACACCCTAAAAGCCATAAACATGAACAATCATCATATTATGAATTTCTTCCAAATCCCACCAAAAAGCTAGAACTCATAAGCTTTCTCATGACAACTAACAATGTGAAAGAAAACAACACACGAACACTAAAATTAGCGACTAGTCATCAAACACATTAAAACAAGTCCCTGACAAACACAAAAATTGAAGTCCAAAAAGCTTTAAAGACAATTCAGAGTGAAAAGAAAGGTTTAAGGACAAACCCAGAAAGGAACTAAAGAATGAAATGATTTTAAAGAAAAAAAACATCGCAATGCTAAAGCTAAACAGTACCTGAAGGTTGCTCATGGAAGGTGATCCTCCCAGCTGTTTTCTTGCTGCCTGAACATTAACGAAAAAGAAGGGCCAAAGAAAGAAAAAGAAAACGGCCAAAGCTTTACCAAGTCTGGCTTGACAACAATCCCAAGAACACAACAGTACAAGGGGCAAGCAGGTGTCGGAATTTAAGTAACAGTATTCTTTTGCTGTCTTTGTTCTTTTTCTTCTCTTTCAAAATTTAGGTTGTCAGCAACTCATGAAATTCAAAAATTTACAGCCCGATTACCCATTGCTTTTCCTTTTGAAAGTGGTCAAAAGATTGGAGGTGACATAAAGGTTGTTGCCCTTAAATGTTTTTTTTTATTAATGTGGGTGTCCGGGCCAACTTGTGCGCACCATGACTAATCCCACGGGCCTTGAAGTTAATAACCATATAAGTCTCCAGTAGCTATCATATGAGTAATTAAGAACTCGAACCTGAGACCATAGAAGGAGCAAACCCTTTGATCTCAAGTCTTTATCATTTGACCACTATCTAGATGGTTCCTTCGATGCTTTTCTGATTTTACACGTGTGCTTTGATGGGAAAGTAAATATTCGTTAGTCCCCAAACTATTTTGTGATTCTCAACTTGGTCATAAACGAAACAAACTTTTTGTCTCCTATCATACATTATCAATTAACCCACATTATTCTGGTGTATGATGACAAAAGTATAATTTTAAAGTTAAATAGGTCCCTCTTGTTTATAATTGCAAAGGATTTTTTTTTAAGAGCAGCGTTGAGTTAATTGGGAATAATAATTATGTAAAAATTAAATTTTCAAAAAAATAATTGTTTTTAAACTGTATTATTTTTTAAATATTTTTTAATCTATGTTATTTTTCTAGAACGTTTAACAAGTTGTCATTTTGAAAAAGAATTCTTATCATGAAGTCCCATGGTCAAACCCAAATAAAAAATTAAAAATTGATTGGGATTTAATATTAATGAATAATAGGATATATTTAATTTTTTAATTTTATTCATATTTTAAAGTTGGTATTAAATTTTTTAAAAATATCTTGAGCTTAAAACATAGGTCAAGACACCTTATCTGTATCTGGAGGTTTGCCTCAGGTGATGCGTCCAAGCTCACAAAGAATTGCTAGAGTTGCCCAGACTTGGTGTCAAAATAGAAGAAATCTTGATCCGGTCAAATTAAAATAAAATAAAATAAGAAAACTTATTATGTTACGTGAATCATTAGACCAAGAAAAATCAACATATTTTTTCAACAAAAATATCGTGCTCTATTCAAAATTTCATCGTTGAATTATCATGAAGGTACCTGAGACCGATCTGATGCTGAAATTTCTTATAGGGACTTACAGACGAGGTTCCCTTTTTTGGGCTGATAAAATTTTTCAAGTTGAACTCATGGTTGCTTATGGGCTCGTGTCTGTGGAACCCAGCTTAGGCTTAGATTCTCAAGCCTCACTGGTTCCTGTAGCCCCCCTTGGGAAACAAAGAAGGTCGATCCATCTGTTGTTAGAAGGCTGCTGCCATTGACAGTCGCAACTCTCCAGTTTTGGTTCTGCTGGCGTTGGCTGAGTGAGGATCGACAGAGCCTAGTTTGGAGAAAGTCAAATACTTGCATTATAGTGCCTCAGGCCCCTCAAAAGAATAATTTTCCCAAACCAGCTAAAGCACAATTGCTTGAATTAACCTTTGTCTAGAGTTTAGAGGGCACCAGTCGTCATCAAATCCTGAACTTAGAGCTGCATGTAATGACATGTGAGCAGGAGCTAGGTGATCTGATCAATGATTTGCCTGTCTTTGAGAAAACAAACTGTGAGAAGCCACAAACCTAACAGCTATACTCACAAGAGGAGATTTACAGAGATGATGGGGAAAATGTCCAGAGATGTTTTTCAAGATAGAAATGCCACAGTTGTAAGCTTTCTCTATCCAGTTACTTGCCACAGCTTAAAGATAAAGATGCTTACTGCTATAATTCAGTAATGCGAGGGGATGAAATGCAAGTGAATCTTTTCTTCTTGGATACAGGAAATACAAGTGACATGTTTTTTAGGCAAGAAACATGGGTGACAATTTAAAGGGAATAATGATACATGTAATATCCCACCTGTTTTTACTTCTTTTCTTCTTTGTTTACGATAATCTTTTGGGATGCATTTGACAAAAAGATGGTGGAAGGGAGAATAAAATTAATTTCTTAATTGTACAGTTATAAAACAACACCACAAATTGTATATCAATTTAGTTCCAGACCGGATTTAAATTACTAGATTGAAGTTCAACCTGCAAATTATCAAATTATTGAGTCAACATGATTTATTATTTTCTATTCAAAACAAAATTGTTAAGAGTTTTTTTTTTAAAAAAACATTTCTTGATTTTGACCTAGCTGAGTTTGGCAAAACAACTAAGTTATGGATCATCTTCCCGGGTTATCTAAGAATATTAAGTCAATATTAAGATCAACTCAAATTAAAATCTGGCTCAGGTAAAGTTTTAAATCATGGATTTGCCTATTCATTCTGCCGATTTGACCGGGTTTAATAGTTTTGCATACACTTCTGCTATACCTTTTGTGTAGGAAGAAGCATCTTCTCCCCTCACATCAACGCTGCCTTGAAATTGGAACTCCACCTGCACCAACAATGACATACTACAAGAACACAGTCCTTCGTTAGGTTACTCTAATTTATAGCTTAGTTTTCTAAATCTTGTAAAACACTACTATACAGGAGCATTTTTGGAATAATTTAGATAACATCAAACTATTATTTGTCTAGGTAAATAAAAAATCATATGTATGGGAATGATTTTTGGTTTTTTCTGGAAAGTATTAATAAGCTAGATCCTTGCTTCGGGTTATTTCATACCATAGATAAACTCATACCATAGATAAACTCGAACACTCAAGAAATCGAAATCTGTTGGAAAGCCGAATTCGCATCCCTTACGGCCAACACGGTCTTGTGTTCTTGGACCAGAAGGGACTTGCTTAGCTTTACACCCGTGCAAGGAATCATTTCTAATACATCCGTGGGGCAGGCCCGGAAAGCAATCTTCAAATTTAAGCACAAACACTTAAAAGTATAGGCCATGACAAAAAAAACACTCGCCACAATTCACAATAATCTCATAAAAGTGTGGTGAAAGTCACAAAACCTTGAAGCAGTTTGGAATAAACCATTATTGCAAGCAAAATAGAGCAAAAGAAAGAACTCAAGAGCTTACACTACCACGAAACATAACAAGGGTAAATAATCTAGTGACAATTTGCCTATTTTACGAGAACTGGGAAACATCATAAGCAACTGTAACTCCAATAATTGATCTTGCTCGAGCTGGTTTTTCATGCAAACATACGAGGATACGTTTGAGATCCCCAGGCCGGACCATCTAACTATGGGTGCTTATCAGACTACTTAGACTAACACAAGGAAGAGAGTCTTACCACAACTTTGCCAGAGTTAGGGTCCAATTGACTGCTCGTAAACCACTTGATAATTCAGATTCTAGTCAAGATTTTAAGAGAGATTTTCAAGTAAAATTCATGAAAAATTATAGCGTGTTAATTAGCCAAACATATACTTGACCTGATGCTTATGCCCTTCTACTTGATGAGGATTAAAGAATTAGGTAATTTACACATGAATTGAATAAGGTATCAAGACAAACCTTCATTAATAACTATCAATTTTTCACACAAAATGCAAGCTCATTTATTCCAGTATAAGTGCAGAGCAATGGACCTGAAAAACAAAATACATATAAATATGTACGCTATAGCTAGTGCTGTGCTCTTAATATATACAGCTCTGAGAGCAATATTTTGAATTATCGAAAAGAAGAATCACTGGAATTCTCAGGTCAAATCATCCTCTAGTTCTTTGGACTTCAGGGCATTCTTGACTTTCAACAGAAGTGTGACCTTCCAAGAATCCTACATGACATAACATTCCAGGTCAGTGCTAACTCTGTGATGTTTACAAAATGGAATGTTGAGATCAGTGCAGTCTTTGCCAAATTACGGTTGCAACTGATTCAGTAAACTTCACATTCCAAAAGAAAGAAGCTGCAAGAATTAAACTTCAACGCTAAAAAAAGATGTACCAGCTTGGAAATGCTATCGAATTCCTTGATAATGGAAGTGAGCTTCGGAACATCCTCCTCATCAATTGCAGTAGCTAAATCCTGAAATGTTATAATAAAAACCAATGAGCATGATGAAAGCACTTGCAAAATGACACATCAAGATCAACATTTCACCAGCAACCTATTGCCTAATCTTCATTCCATTCAACCAATTTCTTTACCATATTAGCAGTATGCTATTACATCTATGAACTCAAAATGCTGAAAAAATAAACTTAATACCGCACAAAGTAACTCAATTACATATAATGCATAACAAATAGCAAGCCTGATAATTGAGAAGCATCCACTTACTGATAAAAATTTGTATTCCCGGGTTCTAGAAAATGTAGGATCCAAATTCTGCACAGCCAATTGATAATTTATTTATTCAGAAAAGTAAACGACATGTTGATACAGATACACATGCAAAATAGATATCCATTGTCTATAGCAACTGAACCTCATATTGCTCCAATGCATTGGTTATGGCAACAACATCACCTCTGCAGAGTTGGCAAATCCCAGCATTGAGAAGATATCCTCGTACTCCATATTTTAACAAGTTATTATTGAGCGACTGTCGTGCTACATCTTCATATATCTGAATTGCTTTCTGATATCTGAAGAACAAAGTGAAACAGAATTAATTCATCCACAAGATAGAAATCATGCCGTCCCCACTATCCACAAGATTGTGATTAAAGAACAGAAAACAAAGTAAAACCAACTAAAGACTCCCAACTGCAGGGGTGTAATGGTATATTATCAAGGAAATTTAATAGCTTTATTATTTAACTGAATTCACTTACTGTTCAAGTTGAGCAGAAATTTCTGCAACTTTCAGCTTGCACTTGTTTGCAAGGGAGTTTGATTCTTGAAATTCAAAATAATCAGCAGCTTTTTCAAAGTACATAATAGCCTTGTCACTGTTTTGCTCGAGCTCATACAACTCACCAATTTCCTGAATCAGAAAAAAAAAAATGTCTAAAGATATTAGTTATCCATATCAACTGCATAACTTACACTTTAATGCTATCTAGACACTACAAATACATATGTCGGGTGCATATGGGCAACAATAATTTTTTAACCATCAAGATTAATACAGAAATCCCTATATTATCAAAATAAATTAGCCCATAATCACTAAATAAACAAGGAAAATGACTCCTAAAAATTATTCATTTCTACAAATCATAGTACCTTGCAATACTTTGCAGCATTGCTATACCTTCCCATATCAACATAAATATCCACAGCTTGCAAATAGCACGAGATAGCCCCTATAAGAACAACAACAGCATAAATTATTGACTTATTAAATTACAAAATAATGGGATTTTAATTCCATAATCAATTAAAAAATCAAATCTTAACAAACACCTTTAGTTGATGTTTTCTTGTAGCAGCTTGCAGCATCTACATAAGCAGTAGCAGCTTCATGTCTGCTATCCAACTGTAAAAACAATTACTAACCTGATTATCATCACAAACACTAATTACAATTAAGGAACAGTTGTTAAATTACATCATAATCATACCTTTAAATGACAATTAGACAACTTGATGAAAACAGACCCAGCTTTATCCCCTGTACAAAATAAAATAAAAACTATTATTATAAAATGGATTAAAAAGGAAATAAAAAGAAGAGGAAGGAAGTGGGATTTATACAAGATTTAGCGAGTTTAAATTGATTGGCGGATTGGGTAAGCAAATCAGCAGCATCTTCATATTTAGAGCCCAGTAAACCCCAGCCGTTGATTCTCTTATCTGCTTTTTTCTCGAATTCTTCTCCTCTTCTAATGTGATCCCCCATTTCCTTGATCTTTGGTTTAGCAGTTTTCTATCTCTGCTTTTGATTTTCTCCTTTTCCCTTCTCTTTGTGTTGAGAAAGGAAAACAGCGAGAGGATGATAGATGGTTTGGTTGGTGAAATAGCGCGTGAAGGACTCGTCAGTCTTGCTTTAAAACTTAACAATGAAGGCGAGGCCACTTCTGTTTCGAGGAATGGTTTACCCCTCAAGTATCGAGGTTCTGTTAAAATAAGCTCCGTAATATCAATTTGTTGACTGTATCTTTAAGCTCTTATGTTTTATAGTTTTTATATTTAATTTGAGATCAATTGGGAAAAAAATTGTATTATTTAATTATCTTATCAATGAATAAATAATTTCAAATCAATTATTTTTATTAAAATATAATTTTTTTATTGATCTAAATTAAACTTAATGAGGTTAATAAAAATACTAAATACATTATGCTAAATTAATATCCTACTTGATTTTAAAATTTATCCTACAAATTGATTCACGGTAAAAATTTAAATTAAGCTGAATCTTAATAAAAATAATGATAAAAATAACTTGGTGGCATATAAAAAATTAGGATAATTCATTATTTATCATTATTTAGAAAAAAAATTTAATCAAAACTAATTAATTTTTCTTTTTAATTTTTTTAAATAAGTTTTACTGGTCAAAATTAGTAAAATTTTTCGGTTAACCCATGTAAAGCGTGACTAGAAACTTATTTTTAGTTAATTTTAAAATTAGATTTTAAAATTATATCTTATTTAATTCAATTAAAAACTCAATTTAAGTTAAGCTTTATATCCAAGTTTTTAAATCAATTTATCAAGTTAGACTAATTAGGACAGATGAAGTTTAATAACTATGTTATTTTCTAAATAAATTAAGTCTCGTTGCTAGATTAATTAAATTTTCAAGACGAATTATGTCATTAATTAACATGCCTTTTGTGATATTGTTTTGCAAAGCCTGAATATACGACGGTAATTGGTTCAAAATTTGATCATTAATCATGAATGTTCAACCTATCTATTAATTCAAAATTTAATCATATTCTTAACCACTAAGTTTATATAAAAAATCACGGATAAAATTTGAAAAAACTGATAAAAAAATTAAAAGAATTTTGGTTGGATTTTGATTCGAGAGAAGATTGTTAAAATCCCGAATCAAGTTATAAATTTATATAATTTTACAAATTAATAAATATTATTATGTTAAATCCACTTAAAAACTTAAAAAAGGGTTAAATCATAGTAAAATCGTATGAAAACATTGAAATCGACCAAAATTGTTTACAATTACAATTTTGAACCCTGTTTTACGTGTTTATAAGGAATATATACATTGCAGTCTGCATTGCAATAAGTTAATAATAGCACTAAAAAGTTAAAAAACCTAGCGTTTTAGTGCCTCTCTTTCTCAAAGTCCTTCCGGTTCTAGTATTTCAATCCAAACTTCTAATTTTCAAATTCAAAACAAACCATTTCAGCAACATTTGATGTAACATACCAACTTTCAAATTTCACTTTTCTACAATCTACATCTCTTTCCATCTCTCCAATTTCTATATGGGTGGAAAAGAATTATATCCACAAATTACAACTTGTTGGCAAGTGACCTGCAACCTTAAAGTTTTTTTTATTATATGGAGCTTCTGAATTCTGAATAAATTTTCTTAGTTAAGAAACTAATTAGGAGGGAGGCGAGAGTTAAAGTAATAAGTGATCTTGATTTCTTATAACATGTACAACAATTTCTTCCCTTGCTCATTTTAATGACAAATAATTTTGTTAAATCTTGACAAAACCATGTGGAAAAATACTTTGTACATGATAAAATAAAGTCATTATAAGCAGCTAGACTCAAGTATTTTTTCCTCTTGCAACTACTAATTTTAGAGTTAATTAATGAAAT